AGGGGTTTAGGGTTTAGGCCATTCATCAGGATATGGGTCCTTTTCTGCAATCCCCAGACAATCAAGATCTTTGTAAAACGACTGCCATTTTGAAAGGAAGATGCAGGAAACCTATCTGCGATTTGAGAGTTAGGCTTTCAAGTGGAACTGCTGCTCTTTCCTAGCTCTGAACACCATGCACCTAGGTTCCGACGGTTGTATGAGCTACAGCCAATGTTTCCTATACTACGCTAAGAGGGGACCCCTATGACCAGCCTTACGGGGTCCCTTGGTAAGGCTTACATTGACAATAGCTCATGTCAGGGATGCAGGATTGAGGCCAGGGAGACTGAAGAACCTTTTTTGGCCATAGAATGGGAGACCACGTATCAAAGCCTGGACACCCTCAGGGGTTTTATAAAGAATATAGAGGGGTGATAAGGGGATGTATAGGGGTTATGAACTTACTTAAACCCCACCAGTTTTGAGGCGCAACTTGTGGGCATCGCTCTGCCGGGATCCCGTTTCACATGAGCCATTGTCTAAACTGATAGTATCCCCCTTAAAACCCCCATATATTATTCCCTATATAATCCCCTATGTAACCCCTTTATGGAGTTTAGACCATAGCTCACGTGGGTGGAAGCCTTTGAGTTGTGGAAGGATCTACCCGCCCAGGATTCACCTTCTTTGCAGTCGGAGGCGTGGACAGGGGTTTAGGGATACATAGGGGTTATATATAAGGATAATGGAAAAGAATATGGAAACTACTATGATGAGGTTATATAGGGTTTAGGGTTTAGGGCTTAAGATTCTGCGCGCAATCGTCCGCAGGGTGGAACCCAAATGTATGGTTTAGAGTTCTGGGTTTTGGATTTAGGACAGCTGTGTGCCAAACACTGAACTCCTAGTATCCCACGCAATCACCCTTAAGTAGTCACCTATATAATTGCCTATTTAACCCCCTTTAAGGAGTTTCGACTAGGCTTCATGTAAGGTTTAGGATTCTGGGTTCTGGGTTTAAAGCAGCTGTGTGCCAAACACTGGAGTTTCATGGACCCGTCTCCTCAAAATTCGCCCCAGGCATGGATTTGCTTGGAGCACTAGCTGGGATTGAGCCAAGACAGGGCAGCAAGCCACAGATTTCAAGAGGAAACACCTGGGCGTTTGAAAATTACCGCCACTGTTGATGAGGACGTCCTGAAGTGGTAGTTTCCCAAAATAAGGAGACCCCAATATAGACCCCAATATTAATGTGCTGTTATCCTTATTATGAGAGCCCCCAAAATGGTACCCCCTGATTTTGGGAAACCCCTAAGCCCCTAACATCCTAAGAGTTGCATTACCTTAGGGGCCGTGGGTGGTGCAAGCTTCTTCTGTCAACAATTTCCCTAATCCCTAATATGCAGCAACCCAAGCATCCCCATATACCCTGAGGGTAGCTCAGGGTCTCTCTTCGGAAGCTCCCACCTCAAAGCTGCAACTGACTACGTCCGCAGTATGAAGCAGGCGCCTTGTTCTTGAAACTTCGAAATTTCATGGGGCCCCACACAAACCTCGAAACCTCATCAACGCAAATGTCACCTATCAAGGGCTTCAAAAGGCCAAGCGGGAAATGGCAACAGGCAACTTTGGCACGAGCTCTAAACAGAACAGTCAACCCAAAACCCTAGACCCCAATACCTACAGCCGAAATCAACTGTACTGCCGTAAGGTTGCCAAAGAACTGCATCATCGTGTCATACTGTTTGAAGGACATATGGGGGGTCCCAAAATTAGGGGCACCTTTTCTGGGTGTCCATATAACCCTGGTTAAGTATATTGGGGGGGTCCATGTTGAGTTCCCGCTGTCTAGGGAGGAAACTACCACATCTCAGCCTTGGGGATCCACTCCTCCAACCTCCTTTACAAAGAGTCAGAGCCCGCACGTGGAAAAGCAATTTTTGATCCCTTGACGTCACATCCGACTGTAGGAGCACGAAAAATTATCGATCTAGGTCTGTTTGAGGTGCAGAATACCACAGTTATCAACCAATCCAGGACCTAGGACCAAAATTCTGGTAATCATTCTAAACTCTAAACCCTAAACCGCTACGGAATTTCCAGAGTCTTGCAATCCCCGCGCAGGCTGAAGCAGGGAGCTGGGCTTACCAGGTTCCAGTACAGGGAGAACTGGCCTGCCAAGGTTTGTGGAGTTGAGAAGCTATTAATGGTGGCTTCCACAAATTAGGGATACCTTTTTGGGGGTCCCCATAAAAAGGATTATAGTATTTTGGGGTCTATATTGGGTCCCCTTATTTTGGGAAACTACCATTAATGTTAGGGTGTTTTGGGAGTTTAGGGCATGGATTCGTGGCCAGGCGTGCGCGTGCTGCCTTAGATTTTGATTCGTTCCATAGCTTAGTGGTTTTTAGGGTTTAGGGTTTAGGGGTTAGTGAGGAAGAAGGGAATATAATCATGTAGGGCTTATATCAGGACTTTATTCCCTTACTCCTTACTAACCATCAGCAAGATAATTGCAGACTGTTGTGGGGCTCTTGTATGATGTCATGGAACGTACCCTCTGCTGTCTCTTTTAGCGGGGGTACTTGATCCCTGTCAATCTTTCTTGCTAAGACACGTGTGGTTACATTTGGGGTGACCTCAATATGAGCTATAGACAAGAGTCTAAACTCCTAGTATCCCCCTTGATAACCGTATAATACCAGCCTATACAATCCCCTATATAATCCTCCTTTCAGGAATTTAGACTATAGCTCATATCTTGAACACGGACGTATTTGGAGTGTTGGGGGCCTACGTGTCCTACTCTCAGGCCATCTACCTGACAACTGCATAGTCGTGCACTGTGTATATGCTCCCTTTGGCCATGACCTCCGAAAGAACCGCTTCATTCAACATACCAGCAGCGAGTAGGGAATGTAGGAATGGCTCCAGATAATAGTTCTGGGTTTTAGGGTGTAGTGGTAAGGGTTTTGGGTCATGATAAGAACTTTCCACCATGACTCAGCCAGACCTCCAAAGGGATCTACAAATTAGATCCCCTAGAACCATATCAGAAATGATACAAGGATTATATAGGGGTTAGAACTGGTGTAAGTAGGGGATCTAATTTTTAGATCTTCCCAGGGGTCTGGGAAGGTATGGACCATAATATTGATTGTTCTGTGGTCTTCTACATTACAGAATCGCTCTAATGGGTTTAGGTTTAGGGTTTAGGAGACCCCTCTATAAGCCCAGTTTGCATTTGATTCTCCAACTTCCGTTTGAATTCGATTCTCCAGTCTTGGGCTAACATCCCTAAACCCTATAACCCTTCAAGGGATCCCATGAGGTCTTTAGCATCCAGCCACCCTAAACCCGAGGTATCCCTAAACTCTAAACCCTAAACCCTAAACCTTAGGTACTGCCCCACCCCTCCAGTAACAGTCCATATTAGGGGTCCTAGTAAGGGCTATATATATCCATATTATATCTATTATCCAACTGTTACTGAGGGGGGGCAGTACCCAACCTAAACCACTTTAAGGGCATCCTATGCGGTCCTTAGTATCAGGCCCCCGGTGGCCTGCATGCTCAAAGCCATCCGCCCCGACGGTCTCTTCTCGCCAGGCGAGCAAAGTCAACTCGGAAAATCCATTTTCGATAACGGTGTTTAGATTCCGAGGCTCAGGGTTTAGGGCTTATGGTTCAGGGTTTTAGGATTAGAGTCTAGGGTCATGTGAGAGGCAAAAGTGGAAGATGGAGAATCAAATGCAAAAGATGTAAGATGCAACAGATACTGGTTTCATATAGGGGTTCATAAGGGTGGGGGGTGGCAGTTAAGGAGTAAACAAATGGGACAAGGTGTTGGGTTATGCCATACTATGACTGCAGAGAGTATTTGGTGAACATTTAAACTTCTAGATCGGTTGGGGTGTAGAGCCTCAGGTTGTTGTTGGTCTTGATTGTTGTCATAAAAGGAGCCAACGAGATGATTGCCTTTCCTGTAACAATTGGGATCGTAGAGTAAGTTAACCCTTGAATATTCTTGATACTGAGCGCGCTGACTGGAGGTCTGCAATCATCCTCACTTCAATTGCTTCAAACTGACCTGCATCCCAAACCAGCGACATGTTCAGCCATAGCCCTAAACGCATGTTGTGACAAAAAACTCATGTTGATGGCAGCCGCTCGCAAAAGCTGATCGCCTCCAAGGATATGTGACTGAAGCGACTTTAACCCTAAACACTAAACACTAAGCTTGCTGCCACAGCCAGGGCAGCCACTTGCAGATCCTGGCTGATACACGAGAAACAAAGACTAGCATCGCGTTTTGAGCCTGTTGTTCCTCCTGAACTCCTGTTTCTAAATAATATTGTCACATCACGCCGCGCTACGTAAATCCTGAACTGCACATGAAGCTGAGAAAGCTGGCTATCATCTACCCATTTTATTACACTGACTGGCAGGCGCCAGTTAATTCATCAGATTATGTCGACCCTGGGCACACTTGATGCAGCGAACACTCCGCATCTACCATTTGATGGAACGAGCGTTCCTTAGATCCACAAACCCCAAACACATGGCAAAAAAAATTAGGAACAGCCCTCCTAGAGTAACAATCCTGGCCGCGCCCTAGCTGAATCCTTGCTAGGCCCTCTTCCGGGACTTTTAGTGATGGGAGCTGGAATCAAACACTGAACCTTCCCTAGGCCAAACCCTACAGATTCCCAAGTTGCAAAACCTAAACTTAACGGTTCTTAGTAGGGAATGTGGGACTGGAGTATTTGGGGATTATAGAAGGGATTCTATTCCCTCATTCCCTACTAGGAACCAGTAAGCTTAAGGGCCTGCACAGTGGCCATGGCAACCAGGTTGTTGCCCTTCTTCTCTGGAAAGGAGATGTTCCAACCCTGGCGGAGGCGCGGAGGGTGACTTATGGTTCCTTACTCCGATTAGGGCCAAGGTTTAGGGGTTTAGGGGTTTTGGGGTTTTGGGGTTTAGGGTTTAGGGTTTAGGGTTTACGGTTTAGGGTCAAGGTTTGAGGGTTTAGGGTTTTAACATCATCTTCTGTTCCTCGTTGGGCCTCCCAACGACCCATGTCTGGTTGTAGCTCGCAGGATGAATAAAATCTTGCACGACCTTATGTACCTATGCCCCGGGACTTATTTTACAGTGTCATACCTGGGGCATACAGGAATTGGTCCATCAGCCGTAGGAGAGTGCAGGGCCGAGGGTTTAGGGTTTAGGGTTTAGGGTTTAGGGGTGCATCTGCCTTGAGATTGCGCGTCCATGGGGACCAATACAGAACCTCTCGAAACCAACGAGTATTATTTCTATGTACTTTGAATTTAAGGCCCCAATAGGTTCCCGTATACCACAATGGGGGAATAATTGAATATCTCAAAGTGCCACCTGGATAAGGATGACTTGCTCCCTCTTCTGGCCCTGGCAACATGATATCCCTACACTGGGTTGCTGTTGAGGAACTTAAATGAAGTTACTATAATAAGGAAACCCCGTTAGTTACTATATATCTTATTATCGTAACTTAAAACCTAAATCAAAAAAACCCTAAGCCCTAGACCCAGATTACGGTAACTTAATTTTAAGTTCCTTAACAGCAACCCAGTAAAGGCAGGCCCGCCCTCAGCAGCTTCTAAAAAAAAGGCACCCAAAAATACCTTTGAAGGTTGAGGGCTTAGGGTTTACGGCGTCCCAAGATACCTCCGCAGCCACATAGTCCTCAGCTTTTGGACCTATTGGTAAAATCCGACTCTGTCCTTACTGGTGGTCAATAATGGATAAGGGAAGTATACTCTCTCTATTGGCTCCATATGAGATACTTCTTTATTCCATGCTAACCCCCAGTAAGTATCATGACTCCTGGCTCAGTGATTTTGTCCTCTCCTGCGATTGAAACAAGTGGTCCGTCATGGTCCGTCTGCAGGTTTTGACATCTCAAGAGCTGCGGGGCCCATTCCTTCCCCATCGGGCCAGGCGCTTGCTGCGTGGCGCCAACGGTCGGTTCACCCGGACAGTGGCATGAGCATCAGCCTCCGCCAGTGGTGGTGCAAGCCGAGAGTAAGGGGGCGCGCCAGGGAGCTCGGACCAATGGTGCACATAGCCATAAACATCTTGGTAACGCGTCTCCTCAATCGTGTCATGGTTAAAGCCAACTCCTTGCAATTTCAGGGTGACGCGCTGGCCTGCCCTGTCTACTTTGGTCACCAACAAGTTCGCCAAGAAGCCTCCGACTTGTTGAAGCTTCTTGGGCAATCCTTTGACCAATCTCCAACGGAGAAGGCCCAAACACTCTGCATTGATATCAAGCAGCAATCCTGTGCGATTCTTCTTCACAATCACACCTTCGTAGAACTTGTCTTGGACAAGATCTTCGATGGTCATTCGCTGCTTTGATTTCTTCACACCACCTCGGGTGTAATCATCTGGGTGATGGCCATGGCCGACCACCTCCTCCAGCAATAGCTCTCTGACTTCACGCAACGCCAAGATGGCATCCGAATTGTTCTTGGGCTTGCTACCCATGACGTTCCTCACCTCAGGACTGGAAGACACTCAAAGACCAGTAGCCATGCAAAAGAGAAAACCATGGAACCAAAAGGGTGTCTATGAAACAAACTTAAAAGCCTGGTGACCGACTCGCTCAAGTTCCTGGGTTGCTGTTAAGGAACTTAAATTAAGTTACTATATTGGGGAAACCCTATTATTTGCTATGTATACCCATTATGGTAACTTAATTTAAGTCCCTTAACAGCAA